AAGAGAAGGATAAGAAGGAGAAAGAACCATAAAATGGAATTAAGAATAACAGCGATATCGCAAGATGCCCTTGGCTGATTTCAGATTTAAAAGTAAGTTTTCAGCAGAGTTCTTTTAATGTTCAGAAAAGGCTTATCACAAATCTCCTTTCCTTGGCTGAACTTGCAGCCTTTCACACTCAAATTGTTGACATCTCTCACTCTGCAATATGATAGGGGTTTTTTTCCCCTCCCCTGAAACAAGATAAACATGAACATGTAATGGCTACCAGAGAGGGATGAGATCTGAATATGAGAATGGGAGCAAACGAAGCATCTGTGGAGCTGCCAGCATCTCTTAGAGGAATCACCACTCCAACATCTGCTGTGACTGCCCACAACATGAAAGTAATGGTCAGTACAGTAACCAACGTGTTCCTGCTAGTTATCTCTGCCCATCTCATATAGAAAGAGTTAAATACATTCATGCTCAGAACATATATCTTCCATGAACAAACAGTAGAAAAGAAAAAAAAATGGGATATACAAGATCAGAGTAGGTTTAAGGAAAAGTCTGCAGGAAGAACTGAGAAACAGTACTTGTGCAGAGCGCTTTCAAAGGAGATAACAGAACTGGGGAAGGGGAATACAGGAAGACAGAGAATGGGGAAGTCCTGTAGGGCTAAAAAGCATGTAACGGAAAAGAAGGTATATAGAGATTAGCTGTACGACAACAAAAAGAAAACACTGAGATTGAGAAACTGAAGAGGGTGAGAAGAAGGATCATGAAACTTTTGTGGAGGAAGTGGAAAGACACAGGCAGCATTAAAATACACTGAGGATAGCCCTCAGCAGCAGTACTTACTGGTTTTAAAATGCGCACTTTTTTCTATTTATTTATTTATTTTTAAATCTCTCCCTCCCAATCTGAATAATAACAACCACGTTCATTTCTTCCACTTTCTTTGCACAGTGTGCTAGAATATAAGTGGCTGAAAATACTGCATGAGTTTTGCATTTCAGAAAGGCAAAGGCAGATCATAATTTGACCCCCCCCTTCAAAAAAATTAAGTTTAGCATTGGACAAGAATGGTCCTATCACTTAACATGAATCATTTCTGATATTTATTCAGAAATGCTTTATAATACCAGACTACTTAACGTGAGAAAATGCAAACCTGTTTCCTTTTTAAACAGACCTTGAGCTGCCTGTCCCAGCTAGAAGCTTCTGAGTCTGCAGACAAATTTCTGCTCCTTTATCAAAACACAGTTGAGGACTCTGAGATATGAGGTTCAGACAAGTTTCATGTAAATGTGTAGCAAGGTTCAAAAGGTTAAAACATGAGTCAAAGCCACTATTAAGGCCAGAAGCTGCACAACAAGGATGACAGCTACCAATGACGTGGAACCCATCGGTAGAGCAAAACACAGCCCCGACCAGGCAGTGCAGGCTGCTCAGGACCATCCTGCGCTCAGTTGGGGCTTAGCCTTCCTCCTCTATCCTGTATCACAAATGACATGAAGTAGGTCTTGTATGTAGGACACAAACCATGGGCACGGGGAGGTCAGGCTTCACTAGTTTTGCTCCTTACGGAGCAATTTGTTAGTATTTACATATTATGGCATGGATCATCTTAACAGCGTTGACCTGTGGCTAATCCTCAATCCAATCATAGCTTATGCAGTTGGCAAACAGCCTATACTGTGACAACAAATGTAGTTGCACTTAAGTGCTAGTAGCAATGTGATTTAATAAAAAAAGCTCTCTATAAAATCTTATCCATACATCAGGCAAAATACAGACCTTTCCAAACTCTGAACACACACACACACACACACGCACGCACACGCACACACTTTGATCCATCGCTACCTATACTGTTCAGTCATCTTCAGCCTAACGCACTTGAAGTAAAAAAAGAAGCAGGGAAAGCAGCTAAAACAAGTCGGAGCAATATACACAACATCCACCTTGTAATACATTAAACATCATCTGCAGTTTATACTTACAATTGATAAAGAATGGTTGTTTTTCCTGCATTATCCAGACCAACAATGATTACTTTGTGCTCTGAAATAAAAACATTACTGGTAAGTCACCTAGTTAATATTGCTGTGAAAATGTTGGACGTGTTATGAAACAAGGTTAATGTTGCATTTTCAGACTGATTTCCTAAGCAAACACTGTCATATTTCAGGTACCATGTTTCGTGGGCCATACCTAAAAGTGAGACTGTACATAGAGGTGTACAAACCTGAGTGGATACGTAATTGTCATCTTCCCTGTCTGCACATCCACATGAATAATTTCTAACGGATTAAGTTCAGGGTTTCTTCCTTCTCTAAACTGCTAGAGCAGTCTCACAACGGAATCACTTCTGGAGTTTCTAAACATTTTTGAAACACAACTAAAATATAACAGATTGCATTCCCTATTCCTCCCTAATTAAGCTAGTTCTTCAAAACACGTGCTCTTACACATGTTAAATGTTCATTTCCAAGGCCATACTTTTATTATGACCAGCAACATCTTAATCTCATTCCAAATAGTTAAAAAAAAAAAAATAAGTGGTTTGCATTGTAGCTAGAGTGATCCACCTGTCTCCCACAGTGTCTTCTTTTCCTTTCCTCAGGTCTGGAACCAGATAACACGTTTGCTGATGAATGTTTGACAGTACTCACGCAAGCAATTTAGTTTTAGATAAACCAACAAGTACTACGCAGAACTGCCCTGACCCATACGAGAAAACACGTTGAAGCTCGATGACAGAATCGATTATTGTTTCTGTTCAACGCCTTCTTCCTATACCTCACAAAACTGAAGCTGAAACCTACAGCTGGTGTTGTCACGCACATTCTAATTTCGTTTCCAAGACAAGCGAGCGCTGCCTGCTCTGGGCTACATGACACAACTTTTACTTGCACAAGTAGCATTGACCTCAATAAGGCTATTCATGCAAGTAAAGGCTTTGTGAGAAGGGGTTCCCCCCCCCCCACTAGTCCAGAGGGGCAACAAAAAGCCATTATACGCCTGCCCAGCCTTCAGACCACCAGAGATCAGTTCCTGTGTGAGCAAAGCACACTCGCATCGATTTATGACAGAGGAAAGAGGGAGGGGGGCAGGGGTCAGGTAAGCCGGGTTCCTTCCGTTCGATTTTACCAATATTGTGTGGTTTTGCAGAGTTGTCGTACATACACCGTCAGATATAAACGCAAGTTTAAAATAACTTTGCATAACTGCACAATATTGTAAAAGCATCTGCTTACCTGACCCCACATAACTTAGGCAGTTTAGTGTCAGGTGCGGCGCTGCCAGCACAGCGGCTGCTAGGGGGATCAGTTGCAACGGGAGATCGGAAGCGGGGCTGGACGCTACAAGATAAAACATATTGGGGTTGCGTTCGCGCCC